CTCGAGTCCCCTGTCTCTTCTTATTGCTGCACTGAGAATAATGTCCGATTAAATATAATCGGATAATCTAATTATGTCATAACAAACGGATATATCCGATGAAAGATATCATCGGTTTTTCGGTAAAATTTCATCGGACGTATACATAATTTAATCGGGAAACATAATCGGAAAAATGAACAATCGGGAACACTATTTAATTGGTTTATGCGATGGGAATTTTTCGTTCAGTGTCGAAAGCAGTTATAAGATTCCTGGTTTGAAATCTTTGGGGGAGCGGAGATTATCAATCATGTCGACACGTACGAAGGCAAAAAGGAAACTATGTTAACGCGAACTAGGGTCGATAGCTCGGCGAGATCGTTGATGCATTTTCTTCGGCACGTGACTATATCCGCCCATGTAATTTAAAGAGCCATCTAAGTCGCGCGTGTACAGCTCCCCACGCGCTGTGATACAGCTCGTTTTATTTCACCGCATTCATTAGAATGGCCTGTAGGCAAAATACTGTGTGCGCACGTTCCTGAATGGATGGGCGGACGGACGTGCGGCGCGAGATCCTCGATGATGGATTTCTTTATGTTCAGAATGTAAGTGGCGCACGCATGTCGACAGCGAGCGCTAATGCTCGGACATACTCGCAAAACAATGAGAGCGTCAAGCTTTAACAAGGATGCGCGACACACTCCGATCCACTTATATCCAAGGAATAACACGGATCCGTTTCGGATGTGACATTGTTCAACAGCTAACGGCGGTCGAGAGATGCGCGCGTACGTTTCGAAATATTTTTAGAGGATACAAACGAAGCGAAGGAAACATTTCAAGCGCTGTCGAGTAAAATTAGCGCCGACAACTCGTAAACAAAACTATCGGAGGGACAGCGACGCGGGCACAAATGATATTTCAAACCGAAGATCCGTCGCTGATTCGATAACTCGCCGCGCGCGCGTAATTCGGGGGTTTATCCTCTTCCGCCAGGCGCGGTGAAAGACAGCCGCGAGTTGGTTAATGTATCTATCAATAAATTCTGCTCGTACACATATTGACATTCCGCATTTAAGCGGCTATAAGCGCCGCGAGTTTTAGCGCTCGACGGAGAGTTATCAAGCCTTCTCGTTATATCGACAAAACGTGTCTGCTCATTACGTTGACAGACAATGCCGACAGAAACGAATGCGACGGCCAACGCATATTCCGTGTGATCTGTCAGCTCAGACCCGGGACGGTAACACGAGGGCTGAATATATTGTGTGTATATATATATATATACATATATATAAATACATAAATAAAATCGACTAGCGTTTTCCACCGCAAAGCGAGAAATCCAACGCGTTCGGGGAGACAGAATATCGCGTCACCGTAACGATTGCAGGTGAAAACGACTCGCGTTCTCTCTCGATTTATTCATAAAGGGGGTGGAGACTCGTCGAGATACGCGGCGGCAAAAACAACAGCGGGGACTCGCGAAATGGAGAGGAGGACGGGGGCCGCGACGATGGCACGCGGGAAAAGGGAGAAGGACCGGGCGTTGACAACAAGTCTGGTTCGGCGGTGTAAAGCGCGCCGCGTTTGTATTAAAAGCTTGCAAATTCGTCGCGCGGAGCGCCGGGAGAACTGTCCGGGGAGCGCAAAAGAGAACGATGACGAGATAAACGCCGAAGGGGCGCGGACTGATTAAGGGATGGAAAAGCGATGGAAATGTGTAGAGGCTCTGTAATCAGAGACTGGCCATAAGAGTTGGTCAAATTCCGCGAGTGAGAGAGAAACACAGGCTATCTCACTCTTCTACGATCGTAGAATCGTAAAGCGCGCCGCGTTTGTATTAAAAGCTTGCAAATTCGTCGCGCGAAGCGCCGCGCCGGGAAAATTGTCCGGGGAGCGCAAAAGAGAGCGATGACGGGCGCTGATTAAGGGATGGAAATGCGTAGAGACCCTGTAATCAGAGACTGGCCGTAAGAGTTGGTCAAATTCCCGCGAGTGAGAGAGAAACATCGGCTATCTCACTCCGCTACGATTCTGCGTAGAATCGTAGCAAAATAGAAGAAAATAGAAATTAAAAATACTCGTTTTGCGCGCAGTTCCGGCCGCGGTTCGCGTTAATACCGGCCGGCGGCAGTTGGATATCCGCATTTCTAGAGACCCCGTAATCAGAGACTGGTAGAATCGTAGATCGTAGAATCGTAGCAGAGTGAGATATGCCTATGTTTCTCTCTCACCCGCGGGATTTTGACCAACTCTTATGGCCAGTCTCTGATTACGGGGTCTCTAGAAATGCGGATATCCAACTGCCGCCGGCCGGTATTAACGCGAACCGCGGCCGGTACTGCGCGCAAAACGAGTATTTTTAATTATTACTTACGAGTGTGCGCTCGAGATGGACCAACGGCGGATGAATATAAAATGACGCCGCGGTTTTTTTTAAATTGGATCCCGTTGAACAAAGTGCCGCGGCGCGCTCCCGACTGAATTTTAATTTTGATTACTCGCCGCATTACCGCGTGCCAATTCCATTCTCGTTCTCGTCGCCGTGGCCGCGCTATGCGGGCGTATATATGTGTATAATATATGCAACGATACCTAGTTACGTGTAATATTAATTATACGCTTACGGTCTCCTCATAATGGAATTCCTATGGAATTCGCTACTGGCTGCCGCTTTAATTCGCCGCTTTTCAATCGCGCTGTCGCGCGCGGGTCTGGCCTCTGCGCGAGGCAACGTCGGCGTTCACGTAAATGGAATAAATTAACCGTCCGCGATCCTTAATGTGACGTCGGAGTAATATATATTTGTTTAGCTAATTTTTAACATATTTGTACTCGTCATACTACCGTTGGCCTCGATTTACCATATTCCTTTTTAAGCGAATCGTGTACACGACAGAACAAATGTGCTCACGGTAAACATTCTACGAGCTTCCTGGAAACCCGAACGCGGCTACCAACTTGCAAAGACATGCGCGCTCGTGGATATTGTTTATCGTGCGCTTTCTTCGAATCTGTATTTAGTTTCTGTCGATGCTGAGGATGTTATCAGACGTCCCCTTGGGGGAAAAAAACAAAAAAAAAACTGTCACGTTTCGCCAATTGCCGTGGCGATCCTTGCGCCGAACGTAAAACCGATATCACTGCTTGTCTCGCGTGCGATGACCATCTTGACAAACTGCCGGTGAATAGCGGAGTATTACGGTAGCAACGCAAGAAACATGGCTGCCGGTAATGGAGTTTACCTGGAACACTTATGCACGTAGGCCACGCACATGAACGAATAGCACAGCGAATTGCTGACGTAGAGAGCCACCGCGAGAAGTACCGCCCTCCGGAAGTACACTCCTGTTGCATCCTCGCTTCCCCTCTTTTCCGTTCCTGCACGGCCGCGCTCTGTCGCACCAAGATGGTCGTACGCACGAGTGATGCGCGCGAGGTGCCACGGTATCCTCCGCCGAAAATATTTGATAGTATTATACAAGCGCGGCTCTGTTAAAACAACTCCCGTCGGGGTATCCGTATTACAAGCGGTGCTTATACAGAGAATAAGCCTGCGACTCTAACATCGGTAATTGCAGGATGCTCGGTAATTTAGCAGTAAACCTCCGGGCGTTTCTTTAGTCAGCCGAGGGTCTGATCATTATTATCCGAGCAATAAAGGAATCCCTCGATCGTAACGGTGCCTCCGGCGCTGCTCGTAACTCCTGGTGTAGCCATATACCGAGGGGGAAAAGCTGGTTTTACGAATTTTGCGAAACGCCCGCCGCGTTCGAAAGAAAGCGACGTTCCGTCGCGTCTTCTATTCGACGCGGACGGATATTAGATTATCAATCTCCCGGGGATTATAAATTTCGAGATGACTGGCGAGACTGCACGCCTCGCTTGCCGCTTAAAATTCGGTTAAGTACTTTGGTCTCTCGTTCTCTATTTGTTTCGAGCGCGGTATCGTGTTTCACGACAAAATCAGAACGACTTAAAGTCAGGCTTAAAACGGTCCACATCGCCTGGCAGGTCCCGGGGGACACGCGACACTTTGGGTGGCCGGTCCCTCATCCGCCGCCGGATAATGGATTCCGGGGCTACACCTTGGCATCAGTTATTTTAATCCGACGATTAAAAATGTCAGACACATGTTCGTGAAAGGCGCGATTTTGTGCTGCACGGACTGTGCAAGTTCGGAGGATTAGGTCCCTCGTGGCTCCGCGACGCCACGTCGGGTACAACACGACTCAAAATGGATCTCGGGTCGTATATAGCGCGTAGAACACGCGATGCCGGTCGATTTCGAGGATCGAGAATCGACGACCTGCCGCGGTTCCTCATCCGTGCACGAGGGGTCGACGCTCGTTCGGTACGATTAGAGACCCTGTAATCAGAGACTGGCCAAGACTTTGTCAAATTCCTGCGAGAGATTCTATATAGAATCGTGCAAGAGTGAGATAGTCTATGTTTCTCTCTCACTCGCAGGAATTTGACCAACTCATACTGCCAGGCGAGAGAGAGAGAGAGAGAGAGAGAGAGAAACATCTCACTCTTGTACGATTCTACGATTCTATGTAAAATCTCTCGTAGGAATTAGGCGAACTCTTATGGCCAGTCTCTGCTCTGGGAAAAAAAGACAGTTAGCAACCCATTTTGGGGCTCACAATTAGTATTGATCGAATTATTTGTATTGTTCGTAACTCCACTCTGGGAAAAATTTTGACCGTTTTTTTTGTAGTTAAGCAACTTAACATTTCGGTTAGTGCCTCTTAAGTAATAATTCGATTACTAATTGTGGGCCCCAAAATGGGTTGCTACCTGTCTTTTTTTCCCAGAGTGATTACAGGGTCTCTAGGTACGATACAGATTTTAGGTCTGCAGAGTTTCTATTTCGAAAAGTCGATATAAACCTCGCGTTTGGCGCGAAATTGTATTAAGCATTTCGAACGAAATCCCACGCGTTGAAGATTGCTACGCGCATCTCGCGGATACGCCTTTTACGCACGCGATAAATTCGCGCTGTGGTAACGACACATCCCACCCAGTAATTTCGCTTCTCGGAAATTATGTATTCACCTCGTTTTCAAAATGACCGAACTCATCGGGCAGTCGAGTCACGTTTTTGCCGAAGAGACACGACCACACACAGGTGTACCGCTTCATGACGCAACGGACCGCATAATTCCTAAGGGGCGTTTGCGGGGGCGGAGTCGCGGTCGCGAAGAAAGTGCACAACTGGTGGCCAACGCGTGTTATACGCAGCGCGAAACGCGAAACGTGCCGCCATCGAAGTCGAAACGATATCGCGGCTTGATGAAGTGTGGCCGATAACTGCGTGTCAAACGATACCATTGACAAGTGCTCGTGCAACAGCGCATTCGACAAAGTAGACAGCTCTACCCGATAGATAACGAGCGCGACCTGGTTGCCGCGATAAAGCGGAAAATGCATGCGTTTTCGCGTTCCCTCTCCCTCTGTCTTTCCCAGTTTTTTTTTTGCACAGGATCGCAACATCGAACATGACCGGTGTACGCGTGTAAGCGCAGTAGTGGATGCAAATACAAGGCTAGCGGATACAAAGCTCTCGTCGGTGTTTAACGTTTAAGTTATTCGTACGCGTGAACTCTGGCGAGGAGACAATTTCTGGCCGGCGAAGGCAGGTAGGAAGAACGGATCCGTAGGAGCCTGAACCGCGCGGCGAGAAATGATTTGATACCCCGCTGTGTCCGCCGGATTCGCACGTGTGTTAACACGACCGTTTCACGCGTACGCACGCATATATACACGATTATACTCGTCTCACACCTGCTTGCCACTTCAGATCCCGAGGATGCGACGTCGCGAAGCCTAATTGGCTTGTCCTCTCAAAACGTCTTACATCTATATTCGCTACTACTGTCAAGAGTGTATACGTTTAATAAGAGCGACGGCTGAACATTATTCCCGCAATTAATAAAAATGTTAAATACAAGTCGTGTTTTGCACTTTTCAACGCAAGTTGACACGATCCATTACACAAGACCGTCGCTCGATAGAGGCTCGATATCGAGCGACTTGCCGACAAAACCGGCAACTTGCCACTCTCGGAACCTCAAGAGACAGCAGGAGGTGGGAGACGGTGTTTTTTCTCGCCGTTTCAGACGCCAGGTTACTAATTAACGCGGCCGGACTATAAATCTGAAATTGATCGACCCTTTTTGCCGGAAGGCGATTTGGGGACCCGGCTGGGCGGGCACATCGAACGCTTCGAAATATTCTACAATGCCAATGTATATTTCCTGAGGCCATTATGAATACCGAATATATTTATTTCCCCGCGCCGTTTCTTGTAAAAATTAATTGAATAAATTCGCCGATCGGCCCATCAAAAATGTTAATGTCACAGTCGTCGTTTCATAAATTGTACTCGAATTACAATTAAACAAAAAAACAACCTCTCGCGCGTTACCGTCGCACATCTCGCGTAAACCAGATGGCGAAGACCCGGGCAATAAACGGCGCGATAATTTTTACGCGTGCCCGCGCGCACACCTTGCGGCGCGACCACGACAAAATGATCCCGGGCGCGAAACATAATTTTTCCGTCCGTTAAGCATCCCGGTGAGAAATCATCCCCGACGAGTCGGCTTCGTCCCGACGTCGCTTACCAGGTGCGAGCGCGCGCCCGCGCAACGACCGACCATAATTTATAATTCGCCGGGCTTGGTGTGAGTTACGGCGAGTGGCTTGTGTATTTACCAATCCACTCCTCTCATCATAATGCGCCAGCACTCTCTGTCTCCCTCTCTTACTCTATCTATCTAATAACGTACACCTACTACGGTAATACTCCGCTCGGTAGCGTTTATGCGTGGCTTTATATCACGCGAGCGCTTATCCTGCAACGATGCAACTCGCTACGACTGCGTGTGGCGGTGCGTCGAATCGCCACCATTCTAGCCGAGCACACGTAGAAACGAAGGTCCACGCTCGTTTCGCGACAAATGGAATGTTACGTGCCGACGGTGCTCAATGCGCAATGATACATTGTATTTAATATTAACAATCACGGACGGTTGTGTTCATTGCCTGATCGGAACTTAACTGCCGTTAAAACCGAGGATTATCGCGCGTTTACCGAGTGCGAAATTTCGAGCGGCGCAGACGAGCACCTTCGATCGCTATCTACAGATCTACGGCATTCCCGAAACCGTGCGAGAACTCGTGGAGCAAAGGAATCCCTCTCTCGGTGCGGAGGATCGCGCGAGGAGAATCTGACTGTGGGATATTTACTACGCGACAATCCAGAAATCGCCGCGGGAGTATAATGGCACTGCCAACGGTGCAATCTGGGAGAAACATCGGCGCGCTTATCGGCGAATCGCGAAGTGAATTTTTGCGCGAAACACGTGTTAAAACATGTGGCCACGCTGCGTATATATGTAACTCAGAGACCGGAGGACAGTGGACGGCAGGACGAGAAGAAGAAAAAGAAAAGTCGAGGGGGGAACAGAATTGTAGATAAAAAGAGACAGGGAGAGAAAGAATAGAGTGGGACAAGTTGGAGGTAGAAGGTAAAAGGAAAGAAGGGAAAAAGGCGGCGGGGAGGGAAGACGAAGGTGGCAGGCGATACGCGAACTAACCGGTAATGTACTGCTCTCACGCTAAAGCCGTACGCGTACAGACATCGCCGTGGGTGAAGCGAGGAAAGGGCGAAAATAGGACAGAGAAGTACAAGGAAGAGATGTGTGGCGAGAGCAAGAGAGGGAACTGCACGGCGGCACGGTACCAGATAGAAACATGAAAGCTCGACTACCATCGCGTAAGTAGCGTGGCTGCCGAGAAAAGAGGTAACGCGCGCGCTATCGGCGAGTCTCGGTCGTCCGATATAAATATCTCGACTGCTGGCGGAAAGAGGAGCGAAAGGGAGAGAACGGAGGGAGCCCGAAGGCGGGAGAAAGAGAGTGGAGTAGAAGCCGGTCGCGGTTACCGGCATCGAGTCATCGTCTCGTAGCCAGCCAGCCAAACCAGCCAGCCAGCCAGCCAACCGGCCAACCAGCCAGCCAGCCAGCCGGCCGGCCGGCCGGCCGGTTGGCCGGTCGCGCGCTTACCGCGGGATTCACAATGCTATCTCATCGGCGGGATCAAATTGTCGAAGGAGGAACGAGCATATTTCGCGTGACCCCGCGGCAAGAGCGTCCCAGCGAGAGGCGCGCGAGCTGCGGTTCAATTCCTCGGGAATACCTCGATACATTTGTCGTCGTTCCCGTCGCCCGCACGGCCGGTATATATCTAGAGATAACTCCTCGCTCTCTTCCCTTTCCATCCTCTCGCCGGGCAGACTCTGATGCTCCGTTCTTAAGGTGCTCGCGGAGGACAGTCTCTCGCGACGGGATTCCACGAGGTATAAATCTCGTCGCTCCGCGCGATCTACCTGCGCGACGAGCTCGCTTTCTTTCGCGGCCACGCAGCACCGATCTATTCGAGCTAGGAATGGGCGATGTTGAAACAAAAAAAGAATCGATACAGAAATAATCGCTAACCAAAAATTACGATTTTGCTAATCGATTATTAGTGAGAAACACCGATAATAATCGATATTTTTCAATTTCTTATCTCTCTCCAATATGAAATTTATAATAGAAAAAGACTGTTCATAGTTATTTTATAAATGTATGGTTTGTGGTGCATAAATTCTGTAGACTTTTCCTTATTTGAAAACATATATTCATACTGAAGCGGTATCTAGAAGAAGAACAAGAATCTAAGCGCAGAAAGTTTATGTAGTATGAGCAAACTAGTGATGGGCGATATATTTCTACTAATATATAATTCTAATAATAAACTTATAATTCAAGAGACACCGTAGCGTACATGAGTGAGATCAGTAAATTTTATACTCTGTGCTTTTTATTTACCGAATTTATCTAAATTTATCTAAAGATGTTGTATGAAACATTTCATTGGCTACGAAGTATCTAAAAATGATCTTTGTGACCGCCACAAATTATTAAGGATTTGTGAAAAATATAATAAAAAGTATATATATAAATATTCTTAAACTTTCTTTAATATTTCATGAAACTTAATTTATAAAAGAAAGAAGTGGATTACCTGTGATTGAAACGCTAATCAACATATCGCTTATCTGGAAAGTGGAAATAATATTACGCGACAAGCGAGCCGTAATGTCAATATAAAATAGAGGTGAAGGATAATCGTATCCAATAGAAAATCTGTTGGCCTCCCTGCACAATTAACCGCAACCGAGGTTGATAGAAGAGGCTCTAAGATAAAGTAACTAGTAACATTGAATAAAAAAACTATCGATGTAGGGATTAATCGAATTTCAAAATATCGATGAAAAAAAGAATCGAGTGAAAATCGCCCATCACTAATTCGAGCCATCGATCGTAATAGTGGCGTAAGTCGAGATTCTGCAATGTTTTGTTGTCAAATCGAAATTGCCACGCACCGAAATCGCTAGACATTTCTACTCGTCTCCGATCTCGTCTACAACGTCGTTATATAAATCCAGCGTTAGAATTTTCGTGTCGTTCCGGGAAGAATCGAAATCATAGAGCCCTCGAAATTACCTCAAATTTCTATCCTGCCTCGTAATTGTATTCCCCTTCGCGATCGTGTCGACGTGTACGTCTGAATATGTAATCGAGGACCGTCTCGCGGAAACGGCGGCGGCGGTATTCGACCATCCGCCGGCACCTTTATTACTCCGGAACGCACTTCCCCGAGTAAAACACAATATATACATCGCGATATGCATCTGCCGTAAACCCATACTTAACAGCGTGTTCCTACAAGACGATGTCTTCTCCCACCCCCTCGCGCCTTCCGATTTCCTTTATTTCGTTAATCTCTCTCTCTCACTCTCTATCGTTGCCATCTCCCTTCCTTTCCACGATCTTCTTATAGCGACTATCTTAAATACTTGACGCTGCGTGTAAGAGCATTAAAATACAGGCAACCGCTCGTCTCTCGCACGTTCCGTCTTCCTCCCCTAGACGCGGTCGGAATTTCAATTCCGCGCGATCCGCAGCCGCTAAACGGCCGCCTATTTGCATGATAATTGTTGCATAGCCTATGAGATTCGCTACCAGTGTTGCGCCAGATATCTCGTATAATCAACTACTCGCGAGGTCAGTAACTCCAATTTTTTCTCCAAAATTGCACCCATCGGTAAGATGGTCTTACATATTCATTCGACAGGTATGTATACCATCGATAAGTCGTCAACTTGGTAACAATGGCTATTGCATTTTACACATTGTTGATATATAAAAAGTACGCGGCATGTTTCAATAAATTATAATTCATAAAGCATGACGCTTTCTGCTTCATAATCGCAAACGTAATAATGATAATGTTTCAACTGCTAGCTCGCGCAATCGTAAATCAGTAATTTCGTGCAATAAATTGTAACCAAATACGGAACAATCGATATCCTGCGGACACGCGGAAGATAGCGCAACACCTGCGTCATGCCCTCGACATAGCCGCATCAGCAAAAGAACGCATTATGCCACGATGCTCGTTAAGTCCAGGCGCTTATCCTCAGCCCGAAATGCTTTGCGAAATGCCAATAATTGGCCCAAAAATTCGACCGCTTATCTGCGGCCGCACCTGTCGTCGGGGCAGCGTCCCGTGCATGCAAATGCTGTGAAGGACTGTTTCACATACCAAAGATTGATATCTGTAATAAATTGCCGCGGTAAACGAGGGTGTAACTTGTTCTACGGGTAATGAGCTCTATTGGTGCGAAATCTTCGTACAAGCTTGCAAAGAAAAAATTATCGCGCCAACATCCAATAAATAAAAATATCGCACTTTATTCGTTTTGATTTAACACTGATCGCACAATTATGATCGTTTTAATACACGACGCTAAACTGTGTCGCGTTTTAAAGCAACGTCCCGTTTTTCCTTTTCAGGATGTCGATGGATAAAATCATCAATAGGGTGGACATCAATTTTGATAACGGTTTACCAAGGGGCGCGGATAAAGATACGCACCGGATGTTGGGAAAGCGAGGCAATTTTCGAAAGAGTCGTCGCGCCGAGAGAGACGTCGGGTAAGCAATTTTCTTATCGGGGCGTCATTTCCGGCCGTTTATCTCATGGCTTGTAGTTAAGAAGGGACATTGATTAAGGGCCCATTTTAACTCCCGGTAAAATACCCTTCGCTGTCGTCGCCTCGCGCACCGCCCCCTCCGAAGTCGTCTCCTCATTTCGCCTCCTTTTGATTCAATTTACGAGTAGGATGGCGTCGATAAAGGTACCCGATCTCATACTTAGCCTTCTACCCCCATTTTCTTGCCATCTTGCATCGTGGTATCTGTCTCCCTTGCCCGACCTCGAGTACCTGAATTCACCTCCATTTCCTACTGCGAGTTGGCCGTGTTTCGCCCACGTTTCTCTCTCTCTCTCTCTCTATTCCTCGCGTCCCACCTCGCCTCAGTTTTATCTCGCCAAGATCAAATCATTCGATTCCCTTCCGCGAGTCGAATGGCCATAATCGTCTTGCTGTTACTTGGAAAGAAAAAGAGGGTCGTTTCAACTGCTATTTTCCCTTTCTAGACGGCAGACCGAACGGTCATTTTACTCCACACTGATACGACTGGTCAGTAATAGTCCGCTTTTGACAATGTACGAGGTGAGGAAAAACGCTTCGCGCGATTTTATCTTCGACAAAGAGATAGTACGAGATAAATGACGGGATAAGCGCACAAAGATACCGCGATTATACTTTGCTCAGTTCCGATAATTTAGTTTACAGCTTAGCGAGTCGGAGAAAAATTTTAATTTGTAACGTTTTGAAATGTTTGAAGAAAAATATAAATCATAATATTCGTCGCACATAATTTCGACAAAGAAAAGAATATTAACTAAACTATAATATAGTTATGACGTCTGTTGAATATCCACTCAATCTTGCTCTTGATTTTACACGTACATTTGCTGCGCAATACGATCTTACAGTAATAAGGACAAATTCCAGATATATCGTCGCTGGAGACAAATCTCCGGAGAAATTTACATTTTAATAATAACGGCCAACTGTGTCATCGGTGAACGGAGTTGTGCCAGGACGGGATGAGAAGCGAAGAGGGAGACTGGCGTCGACAAGACGCGACCGAAGTTTGATATTTCGCCGAAAAGTCCTCGCATTGTCTAAAAGTTGATGGTGTCACCCCAAGGAGGAAGATAACATCTGGTGCTGCCTCCATCAACAGCCTACTCCCCCACGCCCATTGGCGCAACCACCCCCATCCGCGAAGTGAAGGAAACTCGTCTTCAATTATTCTTGTACCCATCCTCCCTGCCACCTCTCTTCGTCTCTCGTTCTTTCTTACACGGCTTTCCGCGTTGCCACCATCCGGTTCATCCGTTCCCACCCTACCTTCAAGATCTCCCCAGAATTCAACCTCTTTCTTCGCCATTCCATCTGTCACGCGTTTCTGACGAACGACGAGTTTACGAGAAATTACGACAGAATTACGAGAAACAGAGCGGAATTGATTTGCATTTCTGAAAAATGTACATACACGTACGCATGTCGGCACGAGTGTCGTTGTCACAGATTCTAATCGCTCGCGGCAAAGATCTCGTCATACTTTTCGCAGGAGAATTCACGCGATTCCCAATGTTCCTTCGGCCCAACCGAGAGTCCGCCCCACGAATCGAGCAAGTGCTAATCCTATCAATCAAAGTATATTAAAGCTCGGCTCGCTTTTAGGCCCCGACTAGCTGCTTACCCTTCTTTTCTTCGACTTCACCCTTTTAATAAATTCTCTCTCGCCGGGAGCAAAAGGAGCGATTTAAAGAGTTTTCGCGGGAAAGGAGCAGGTTGCCAGGGAGGGTTGCGAGAGCCGAGATTCCGAGTCCGAGCAGCTGGCCTTTGAGGGTGTCGTAACTATTTAATTCTAAAAGACATCGCTGTCTCCCGCTCGCACCGACGCCGCTGTTTCCCCGGCCTCTTCTCTTTGCATCACAAAAGAACCGCAGGAAATTCCAATTCCCGTCGAACGTCACCTCGGGATCGTCGGCAAGCTGCCGGCGGCTCTTTGTTCGGCGTTATTATTTTCCTATTAGCAAGAATCTGTACAATAAACGCGATAAACGATCTCGGAACTCCTTGTATTTGTCCGTAAGCCGGATGAAAATTTCATCCGCAGTATATTCGCATGGAGAAGGCAGCGACGCAAAATTCTCCAGATATTAAAAAATTTTTCCGAAAGTACGTGACGCATATATTTTCCCCCCTCTTTTGAATTTTATATTTTATGGTTACACATATTAACTGTTAACCGCCTTTTGTCGGTACGGACGCGAACGCGAATGCCAATAAATCTGTAACAGCCGAGCGTGATCTGCTGGCAGGAGGCGCCATTGGTGGCGTTCACACGTGTAACGATCAGTAGGAATCGCATAAAGCACACAAATGACACAGATTTTTCATAATTACACATTGAACGAATCCGAAACGGATGCTGCACGCATCCGTGCCGATGTACGGACACGCGCAAGGGCGTTATCACGCCGTTAAATATCATTTGCTAATTAGCTTCATCGCGCGACGTGTAACCATAAATTATTCTGTCTATTTCGATATATGGAAGCTCCGGGGCTGCGGGCTCGGTGAGAATTAACCATAACATCGCAGTCGACTGTTTCGGAATTGTGATTATTCCCCGTGCATTTTAAAATAATTAATATTTATTCTGGTATACCGCGTCGTGTATGTGAAATATAGGAAATTTCAATTCTTCAAAGCGTATAAATTATTATGTTCCAAATGGAAGCGCCCGGCGCTCTGTGTAATATTTCTCTTTGTCTCTCCGATATTCTCTACGAGATACGCGCAACCGGGTTATTTCACGTATAACATTCTGTGTACGAGGGCATAAAATATTTAGCTTGTCCTATTTTATTATATTACAACCTATTTCGCGAGGAGAACGCTTGTTGCGAAGCGGCGAATAACACGGAGAAAGAAAGATAGGAATTTTTCAGGTGTAACACTCTGCTAAAGTGTCTTCCCGGTCTCTGTCAGGGAAAAAATAGCTTCGCATGTTTTCACTCGACACGCGCACATTCAAATGTTACTTGGGCATCCTAATATTCCGGGAAACACAAGCGGAATATTTATTGTTTGCAATATTACTGATATCGCACTGTGTGTGTGTGTCGCGCGGAAGACTATCGGGCTGCATTATTATCGCGACATTGATCGATAAGGCGCAAGATAATAGTATCGCTCCTACCTTTGCGTATCTGTTGCAAAGATTTAGTATAAAGTGTTCTGCAAAGCGCAGGAGACGCGAGTCGAAGGAAAGAAAAAATGGCAAACGGCAAAGCATGAAATCATAGAGCGCCGGGACGACGTTTGGAAGTGTCGCTGGCGGAAACATCTACCGTCCACCTCACCACGTCTCTCCTTTGCGGATTGCCCTCCGAAAACTGGTAAGGTGCAAGGTACAATGCTTGGTGGGTACAGTGTGTCCGACGTTCCTCCGGGGAGCGATCAATGATAGGCCGGGGGTACGAGTCACGTGACCTCGCCGCGGGGAGTTCGCGCAATGCATCACCAACCAACCACCCAGACCACCCTCCTCCACCCCCGTTCTGCCTCGGCCCTCCGCCCGATCCCCTGTATCCTCCGACTGCCTCCGTCATCCTCCTGCGCGCCCCTCGACACCCCGCAACACCACCCTAGCCAGCCGTCTCGTATCCTGGTACCCCACTCTTCACTTTTCATCCACCCTTCGTGCACACCCTCCCCTTGGCACCGCCACAGAGCTCGTTCGCCTGCCGCCGCCACCACCACGTTTCTGTACTCTCCACCGCGCAGACACGCTGGGAGTACTAAACGGGATTGTTGCTACGTTGCTCTTGGCGACCAGCAAGTGTCGCCGTCGTCGTCTTCGTCTTCGTCGAAGACGAAGGCAACGAACGTTCCGTCGCTCGCTCCCACTTTCTCGCCTCTCGTTGCTCGAGACCCCGCTTCGTTTTCAGATCAACCGACGACGTTTCGGCAAATGGAAACGCTACGTACTCTCGCCCCGCATTTCTTTTACCCTTTACATCTGATAGCACTCGATAATTAGATTCGAATCGGAATTATACTCGCGAATTGATGGTTAAATCGATGCCTCCCGCTTTCTACATTGACAAATGAGAAGCATTACATCAACGCGTTTTACCGTGAAATTTCTTTCCCCTCGAGGAAGGAGGAAATAGAATCGATATCGCTTCAAACGCTGCGTTTATTTAATGATCGTGCGATTTCGATTGAACCGCGGATTGCAGGCGCCGCATTACTGCGAGTTTTCTTCGTCGCCGCGTAGCTCTCTTTGCTTTCAAGAAAATTAAATTTCTACTCTGATAAATTATCCGGCCTTCCCAACACTTTTCTATCATCTCTCGCCGCTCGACGTTTCGCGTCGCGCTCCGCTTTCGTGCATTTTCAGATACCAATTACGTTATTGCTTCATATTATTTCATCACTCTGCATTTTGCAAGCCGGGGTTTTGTATACCTATATATTTCCCATTTTCATTACTCCACTATACATTAGCAGTGGCTATTAAAATAAAACCAATTTTCCCACTCATTGTTATTTTTATGCGTGTTATATACGTGTTATTATACGTGTAATTTCAAAGCGGATAAATGAATATTTTCACAATAATTCGTTTCACTGCGAATGCTTTATCGCGAATAATCTAAAAGCGCATCCGCCGTTCTCACATAATTGACTCCCCGAAATTGAATTGAAACTATCGCTTCGCGATACCGACGTTAAAGGTCTCGAAATGGTTTCGCCATTAACCTACTTGCCGCAGCAAAACCGATACAACCGAAATCGAGTGTAGCACGTAATCCAATGACCTGCTCTAACGAGAACATAAATATTACCAAATTCTGCGGGCCGTCGATAGGTGCGCTCGTAACGCTGAAATATTTATTACAATTTCGTCGCGATTATTCCATTAATGCCAATTGTGTTACGAATAATGCTATAATTTCAAGCGCGATATTTTCAGTTATAATATCGTACAATAGAAAGATACGTTTGTCACACGTTCGTATAAAAATGTAGTAACTTTAATGCGTGTGTGTATGAGAGAGTGAGAGAGACTCTTGGGAAATCATAGCATCTATTACTCACGACAGATCGTCTCAAAAGAGACAAAAAGAAACGTTTTATGCATCTGTCGACGACCGCATAGCGCGTATCGTGCTCGCAATATTTACACGTACACATTTACACATATTTAATCTAGATTTTCCAACTTATATTCTCTTCGTAAAAATTCTCCCACCGTCGCTCGCTCGTGTTTGATATTGTTAGTAGGTCATAACCGGAACGTTAATAGTAGCGATAGCTGACAGCAGGTATACAGCGGATTGACGACTTTACAGGGACACTGCCGCCGTCGCCTGACGTACGATCGCGTGCGTGTTACAACGTCAGGGTAAACAACCCTTATTGGCCATAAGACCGTGGCAGAATGTCAATCTTCGACCGGTAACCTGCGTTCTACGCTCGGTATGCTCGTTACGACCCTGTTCGCCGCACGATAACTCGGAGGTTACTGCCAACCACTTACATTTCGCCCATCAACGACACTGCGACATGGGCCGCAACGGTTACCGTCACCGATTCGCCAACGAGACACGCTCGGGTTAGCGTGGAGCGGAAAGAAAACGTAGAGTAGATTTATATTTCGCCTTACCCGCGCGATCTTATAAGGGTGACATTATTTCTACAAACTGCTTTCGGTTAATTACCTGCGTATATAGCCCGAGTAATCTAGATTCTAGCACCTGCGGAGAGAAATTGTGATGGCGGCTGTGTGAAATTATGTTAACGCGACACCATTATTATAGCCCCCCTACGTCGTTGTTCTACAGCGTAATTAATATCACGAATTATATAAATCAGCTTAAAAAAGGAGGTAGACTTGCCTTCAAGAAAACATTAAAATAACTTTTTCTATAAACACAGTATTTAGCAAGTAGGTTACTTCAAGAAAGTCATGACAAAAGAGGACTAAAGAGATACAAATAAATTAAATTGACGCCCAGGAATTACAACCAAGCTAATGTAAACTAAATGGCGTTTTCTAATGGGAAAACACCAGCACACTTATAGTGTAATAAAAAATTTACTTATTGTCAAAATTTGTGACAGATTGTAAATAACTGTGGGAGTTAATGAAAAAAATAATAAACACAGTATATTTTCTGTCAACGTATTAGGTTCTGTTCTTTCAAATACGATCAGAAAAAATTAACAGTAATGCATAATATTCTCTATAATTGTATAAATTATCTTAAAAAGAGAGGAGTGGAACCAGTTTTAGGAATATTGAATTTGTTAAATTTTGCCAAGAAAATATTAATTTTTTCTGCAAGCACATTTTGCCTCGGCTGCAATTAGATTCTCGATAACGTTACTGCCCTTTCGATCCGAATTAACAACGTTGCATAATCCCTGTATTTATGTGCCCGTAGGTACTTTCTCACGGCACCTCGGTCGGAAACGGTATGACGGATGACGTCTCCAGAATATCCAATGAAGTCAGTGTGCAAACTAAGGTAGAGGTATGAACACGCGGACGGATTATGGACGGTTGCGATGCGTGGTCCGCGTGCGGCCCCCCCCACGAGCGGACGAGGTTTAGGCGCGTGCGAGCTGGATTTATGGCCCCCATTATGACGTTGACGTATCGCCTTCGTGAGGGTGGCCCGGAGCAAACCCAAGGCGAATCTAAGCCCCGTGTATCTAAGCCAACGGCTAGCCACAGGTCACCGCGACCGGTACGAGAATACTTTGGGCTAATCCTGCGGCTCACCATATCTGCGATGGCCTTAATTAACAATGAGTCTCGCTCTTGCAACGTACGCGCGACGCTTCTTATCGCTTTCATCTTCTTCCCGAATGCGCGAATAATTTCGAAAGAAAAAAAAATTATTATGCGATTTTATTCCTTCCATTAGCAACGACATTTCAGGTACATTCGACTGCAGCACACATCGGGAGAGGAACTATTCCACGTTAATAAGTGCGTTAGGAACCGGGAAGTCATTCGAACGTAAGAGCAGACACATCCGAAAGTCAAGAACACCGAATTAACGGACGGCGAACTGTCGCCGAGTTGGACGTGAATCTCGCGGCGCGCCACGAAAATTATTGGCATCTTCCGCCCCATAATGGTTGTCTAGCGCCGCAATAAAGCGAAAGCAGGGAAGTCGCGTGGGGGGAGGGAAAGGGGGAGACAGTGGCGCATTGACGATTTAAAGGGCGTGCGAACTCGCTTTTACGCGTCGGATGCGAGGAACCCCGCGATTCAATTTATATCCTCTGACCGTGCGCTTCCTGTCTGCGGCGCGCACGATCTTTCGGGATTGCACCACTTCGTCCACTTCCGGGGGATTCCACTTCCCCCTCCCCCCCCCGTGCCTCCCCTATCCCGCGATGAAATACGACAATGATTCTATCGGCAGCGAGAGCGTCGCGACGATTCTCAGGAGGGTGGCAGGGCTGGCGCAAATAAATCCCGTTGCAAAATGGACCGGGCGGCGTGTTATAGTGGTCGACGTTACGCATCGGCGAGTGTCAAAACACCGTGGAGGAGCCGCGGCTACGATGCATTAAAGGGAACGGAGTTAATGGACAAACGAGGTCGTGGAGCGGGGAGGATCGGGCCGCTCGCGGAGGAATTGTCAAAATACATGGCCGCGAGTGAATCGAATATTGTAAGCGAAGTCTCGACGAAAGAGCAAAATAACGTATATCGATATCGCCAAACGCCTCGTTTTCCTCAATCGCTCCTCGAGAAAAATAAATTCGACGAAACTCCATTCTCTCGCCGGCGCGGCGCGCCGTGTAATGTATCTCCATCGCAACTTTACTCGATATCGCAAGTCGATTCCTCCCCGAGCGAGAGCGAGGTCTCGAATGCGCGGTCAGGGGACCGTGCGGAGCTTACATCGCCGCGTATATGTAACTATAAGGAGTCGAGAGACAAACGGCGGTGGCGGCGGTTATCTGTCGGGGTTTGGGAAAAGTCGAGAGAGAGAGGGAGAGAGAAACGGGGATAAAGGAAAATATATATAGATAAATTCCGATAACGGAGGCAAACGCGAAGAGGGGAGGGGGAGGAGAAAGCGACGGCGCAGTGGAGGAAAGGATCGGGGAGAAGAGGAGAGGCCGTAAGAACCTAGCCCGGAGTAAGAAAGATGGGACGAAAACATCGATTGCAGGGGCTTGTAACACCGCGGTACGAACAGAGGGATCAAGCCGAGCGATAAACCAAGCGGCCTGGAAAATGCCGGATCAACGGTACGATGTTTCAGCAAAAACTGCCTGGAATCGGAACAGCCCCGGCTCAAAGAGAGAAGACGGACGGGAGAGGGTGGGCGGGAGGGAGGGAAAAAGCGCTCGCCCGGGTGGGATCGAAAACGAGCGCCGGAATCTCGCGAAGCTCTCTCTCCGCGGTTTCCTGGTCCACGATTCCACCCTCCGCAACCCCCCTGGTCCTTCGGCGAACGCTTACCGCGAGATATACACGCGCGCGCGGGTACATATATGAATTTTACGTTATGCAGGCGCACCGAGTCTCGACGGATTTACGAGGGAAGTAATGCGAATTAAACTAACGTCTGCGCGCCAGGGAGGCGACGCGACGCCCCGTGAAACGCCGATCCCTGTATGAAATCGAAAATGAGGGTAATTCCCCGTGATAAAATACAACCGAGCCGCCGCCGCGCGAGCGTGCATCGCGGTCGCGCCAGTAACGCGCGTTGGTATCAAGATAAATTCAACGTTAACTAATTACCCGCACGTACTGCTGTATTTAATATTAATTAAGTCGCGTTGTTGTGTTAAATGAGAGACAAGTTTCATCGTATAAAAACAGATGCTCGATATCGCGCTTTGTATAGAAATAAACCGCTCGGATGGGAACGGCGAGTCCCCCAGAAATATATCCATCGAGAGAAATAGCGTAATTATATCAATCTTTTTAAATGAAGGGATGTAAATAGAGCCATCTTGCCATCCCGCTTCTTATTTCGATTCCATCTTATCGCGATTTTCCCCCTCTTCGCCATCTCCGTTAAAAATGTATACACGAGCATACATAATATACAAAATGTATGCGAATATCTACGGTGTATTGAACCCGGATTCGCAGATTCGCCGAATCCAAGGTACATATCTATCGTGGACGCGTTCAAGCCCGAGTCCAAGATGCTAGAACTTGGTCCAAGTTCTAGCACCGTAGAGCCCAGGCCTTTCGGAATGGATTCCGGAACTATTTCGTTTCCCCTAGAAAACATAATAGAAATCTAGGAAATAATTGAACAATTCCGATTTATTTCCATGAAAGGTGCCCAGGGGTTTGATTCTGCATCTTACAATATAGCTTTGTCTCGAGTGCACAACGTGCAACTATTCCATAAAAATTGTAACTTGATTGGCAACACATTTCTCGAAACTAGAACTTAAGGCCCAAACACAATGCCAACAGGCAACAGGCAACAGGAACAGGGAATAGAATTTCTGACGCGTTGGATTGGTTGGAAGAAAATTTCCGACGAATCCAACGCGTTAAAAATTCTATTCCCAATTCCTATTGCCTGTTGCCTGGCATTGTGTGATAGACTTTAGACCAAATTCTAGCACCGTGGGGCCGGGCCTTTCGGAATGGATTCCGGAACTATTTCATTTCCCCTAGAAAACATAATAGAAATCTAGGAAATAATTGAACAATTTCGATTCATTTCCATGTAAGGTGCCCGGGGGTTTACTTCTGTATCTTACAATATAGCTTTGTCTCTTTCTAACCGTTCCCTCAGAGACAGAGCCGCACACTTTAGCATTTCCACTATGGTGTAAGATACAGAATTGACACAGATGACGGTGCAAATCGCTCGTCATTACGAAGAGAACTTATCAAAGTGAGAAATGAATATAGGAGGTGGCCATCTGCGAAAGAACGCGTGAAACTTGTCACACACGCGAGACTGAACTAAGGCAATCACCAAAGTCACCACTCCGTAGATAACTTATCGAACGACGGTTATTCGCAACGAACGTGATTCAATTGTTCAATCCGACGATTTGACCCGGATTGGACTTTGCCTCGCGCGACCTGGCGCGGCGAATCGAATCAAACGAGTCCCTATCTATCAGCCGTCCCACTCCGATCGATTTGGTCTTATCAACCGAAAGGAGGAGGCGGCAGAAGCCGTCGCATACCGTTGGGAGATGGCAACGGCCTCAGAGAACGGCCTCGCAGGGAGAGAGAAAGAGAGAGAGAGTGGCGAGCCCAAGTTACCGATCAGCGGGGCAATAATCGCGGGATACCCGCTAGAAGTGTGGAAAACGTCAAAACGCCGTCGCGCTTTTGCCCACCCGATCGCGCGGTTCACGCGGAGAAATCCGGCTCGGCGGAGCGCGGACTCCCCAGTTCGATTATGTAGTGGCGTCGAACATGAGGACGATAGAGGGAAAAGTAGTTATGCTGGGTTCGCAAGGTAAGCGTGCATCGGTAAACGAGGCGACGAAGCCACCGTGATTATCGTTATATAATGCCAGCCAAGGGACAGGACAGGGCAGGACACGCGCGGCCCCTCCGAAGCGGCGAGTCGCGCGGACGGCGAGGAAGTGATCGCGCACCTGCGGGATCGGGTCACCCGTTTTCCAGTGCGTCGTTCATTGTGTCTCGCAGAGAGGCTAGGTTAGGTGAACGTTGCCCACGCACACGCATTCACACGTGTGAATCCGTGTCCCGCACCGCCGCCTGTGCGCTGTGCGACTAGATGCACGTCGCGACGTCTGGCGCGTAGTCTATCGGCAGTCTATCGCGTTGCGCGAGAGTAAAGTTCGCTCGAGGGAGCGAATTTTTAACCGATGAAATAAAATGATTTATTGACTTTAAGATTGCGACGACTTAAGAATTAATTAAGGCCTCGGTATCTTCGCATAGAATGATCTTAATTGATGAAATAACTCCTCGTGTTAATATTCGCGCCGACGTATGTATGTCTTGTATTCTTAAGTCACCAGACAGTTATTGTGCGTTACTTTAAGACAAAGATTTAAAACACGAAACATTGTCTCAAGAGTACAAGACAGCCATTCTGCTCAGGTCCGTACTTGTTATCCTTGTAATCGCGGAGATAACGATCGTAAAAATTGCAAACGTTTCGATCCGCTTTCTGGATTCTCCTCCAAGCGTTTGGCGGGCTTGCGATCGTTATCTCTACGATTGTTATGGGAACAATTTCACGTCTGATACACGGAGACAAATAATTAACGCGTTGACAAACCATTCCGCCTCTTGACCGTCTTCCTGCTATAAAGATTTCCTTATCATAGTTTCTAGCCCTTTATTATGTCTATGGTGTAATTGCAAAAGGCGGTCTCTTCAAGCCCAAAGCCAGATATCTTCGTTTCGCGGGAACCAGCGATAATATTTATGCTCGCATTATGACACGTTTCCGGATCTGGAGGTCAAAATCCGCAACGCGACACGGTTCTCGATACAACGCGTGCAGAAATCAGAAGCTAATCGAAGATTAAAACTGATCGAAACCGACAAAGTCCTAATGCGAAGATACCGAAGTCTTAATTAATTCTGAAGCCATCGCAATCTTAAAGTCAACAATATCGCGCGGAGTTCACGCGTGCCGATCTGCCATTTGTCATTCAATTTTCGGAGCACTGTAACATACCCATCTTTATTGCTCGATTAATTTTGTTTTTCAATTTCTACCGTGCAGAAAGTACGTGCGGTAATTAGCTGAGCAATGCTGCGTTATTTAATAATTATTCGCATTATATTAGTATGAAGATTTTTACTTTCGTGTAATATTTGTAGAGCGAATACCCTTTACCTAAATTTTTCATTCAAAATCTTGTATGATTATTATCATTTTCGCCGATTCGTCGCTTCAATCGAAGTAAAAGTTCATTCGACTCGTTGACACGATGCAAGTTATGACTGCACCAAATAGTTGCATTGATTTGTAAAATACAAATATACCCGAGTTACATACAAATTTTTTATTCGTCTATTCTTCAAGCGGAGATATTTAAATTGTTATAGCTCCGATCAATTCCGTAAAGAATCAGTAATCACAAGTAAATAATAAGTCACTTACCCCGTGGTTGCCTCGCCGTCGTGCGATGCCGTCAAGCCTCCTCCTTCCCCCTGGCCTTCGTCTTGCTCTGCTCACTCGTCGCACGCACACTCTGCACACACAATAAATCGGAAAAATAGAATTAAGTACAATCGCGCACTTTGCAAGACACTCCTGGTATTAATTCGTCGCGCGCTTCACGATGAAAAAAATTACGATGGAAAAATAACGCGAGAAAAGTACGATCGCACGAAGCTGCAATTCGCTCAGCGGATTGGCGCAACGAGTTTAATTACTTATCGAATCGATTGGATTCTGTTAACGACTGAAATATAACATATTTGAAAAATGACTTTGGTAACTTTATCTCGATTAGCTACGCTATGATATGATTAATAAAGTCTAGCAGGTAGCTAATTACGACGCGACGGGTCGTTCAAAAATAGACGTGCAGAACCAAAAATATGTACACTCGAAAGTATCAAAATTCATTAGAGAATTTAGTTGTTCGTAATCTGCATTTAAATTGCCCATAAATATCGCGCGTAATGATTCTCGTATTTTTCTCGCTGCTTCAGTCACTACGAATCAATCGCGAGAAACGGCCACCTTGCCAAAGTCGTCGATAGTCGTTGCCTCGTTTAATCGATCCGTTAATCACAAAAATGAAGCAGTCGTGTGTACGAGCGTTCGTTAATCATTTAAAAGGATTGATCATCTCTTCTGATACTTATCGCGATCGTGCTTCGAGGGATAATAGTCTGCCCGCTCGAGACTCGTTGCGTGAATAACAGCATGACCTTGTGCACGCACGCACACACACACACACACACACACACACACACACACACACGCGCGCACGCATTTTGCCGTATATCGCGAAAACACGGCGAGCACTAAGCTGATGTATTAAATAATTTATCGCGAGGTATCTAACACGATTGAACTAAATACAACTAAATACCGAACCTCTATTCCTGTCGTATACACGTCGTATCAATTGTTACCGAACGTTCGATACGTGTCACGGGGTTTCCTTCGCTCTAATTACTTGACCCGGCGATTTGCATATTACTCCGAAAACAGTCGACAAATAATTGTCGGTCGGAAAGGTTTGAAGCGCGACGGGATACCTTCTGATTTATTCTACAATGGACGTAACACGCTAGATGCTAAGCCGTGACGTAAGAAATCGGTCAATCGCGGTCAAATATAAGAAGAATGATCGACTGGCCGATTCCTTGCGTTGCGGCTTAGCGTCTAGCGTTTTGCGTCCATTGTAGAACAAGCTTAAAGGAAACTTTGCACCTGTGAATATCACCAAGAGCCGAAGAGTGAGAACAAGTGTCCACAGGCAAATGGCCTCATTTTTTTTCGCATTCGATTTTGGTGACAAAGTAGGTACCAGACGGAAGGTCTCGTCAAACTGATTACAGATATGTCAGTCTCAGAGTTTACCTATGGTATCCACTCCAAAGGCTCCTTAGACTTTTCGTTTGGTACCTACTTTGTGACCAAAATCAAATGCGAAAATAATGGGGCCGATCTTGTTCTCAAGGCTGGTTTATGCAAGGCCGTAACTGTTAACTCATGCGGGAATCGGTAAAAATTGTTCAATCACCGTTAAAAGTGAAGAGAATAATTGACTGTAATTGGTTAATTTTTAGCGATTCCGGCATAAGCTAACGGTTACGGCCTTGCATAAACCAGCCTTCACTCTTTACAAGTCTTATTCCGTGTCGTATTTTCGATACCGACGAACGCATCGCGCGAAACATTCTACCTCGGTTAATAATTATTACCTCGAGACTGTTACGAAACGTGGAAATGAAGTTCGGTCACGCGGAGAGATATTCGTAGAAAGTAATCGTAGGAAACAATCGCATTTTCTTGTAGAAATCGCCGGGATTGCGTCTCGGGGAGACTTAACGCGACGACACGCGGAACACCTCGTGCCGCTCACACGCCTGCTCGGAGCTTCGCCTCGCGAATGGCGGGTGACCGAGCAGGCGGCCGACCGCGTGTTTACGAATGACGGCGGTGCTACGTCACACGAAAACAAAACGTCGAGCAGTTGCGCGTGATAGTAATCGTTATTATACGTAAACAAAGCCGCGTGAAAGCTCACTTTGAACTAGAGACCCTCTACTTTGGAGCGGCAGAAATGGCATTCCACTCGTGACTTTAAACGCCGCGTAATACGGAACGTTTCGACCGACCTCTTCCACAAGGCGCTCTTTCACAGGTTGTATCTCGATTTTACGCAATTTTTACTTCTTCTCATTCTGGACCAAACTAAGCGTTTAAGCAGAAGAACCACAAATTGCGTAGAATCGAGATACGACGCTGCGAAAGAGATCAGTCGGTTTGAAGAGACAGAAATGTATAATGTAAAACGTCCAATCGCTGTTGTATGTAAATGAAGAAGTGTTATATATAAAGCTCACTTTACGCGGACGATCTGCAAGGTGTGCCAGAATTTGGAATGGAATTCCGCTCGTAATTTTAAGTGCCGCGCAACACGAAACGTTTGACGAATCGGAAACGTACATACACGTATACATTGTATAAAGTACGTATACACTGAAAAAAAGTGTTGAATCAAGAAATATATCTTGATTCGACTGTATGCGGCGATCGCGGGCTGTCAAGCAAATATTTGTCAACTCGTAAAATATTCGTTAATTCATAAAAATATATGTTTCAACAAATAAAATCACTGTATGTTTAACTTAAAAACATATGTGTATATTTGAACTTAAGAAATACTGCCGATTAAACGTATTTAGTAATTTCAATAACTTTTTCTCAGTGTACGCGCGGCGTATAAAATTATCAATTTTCTCGTCTATAAATCTGGGGTCTCCGGATAAAGTCTATAAAAAAATTATAGACTTCTATCCTGAGATCCCGCACTAATTGTAATTCGTCTAAAGCGGGAATTGTAAATGATAAATTATATTATTTCTGAAAGATATTCGCCCAATATTCTCGCTCTTGCATTTTACATTAGTTTCGCCGATCAAATTATTATCGTACATTAAATCTAGCATTTATTTGAAGAAATATGATTATCCGCTTGAAAATAAACAGTCGTTAAGTATAATTAAGTATAATGGACGCAATTGAATATGCGAAAATTCATTTATCTGTAATATCGAATGAAGGCTCGTGCGGCAGCTTGAAATACACTCGCTATCAGATAAGATGATCGATTTTTTGCGGTACGTGGAATGTTCGATGAATGTTATCGAGTGACAACACTAATGTTGAAAAATCGCACACAAGTACCATTGGAGCACGAATCACGATATCATTTTCAGGTGTTGGCAAAACGAGCTTGATCGGTCGTTACTTGGGGAATATCGAACATGCAAGTCCCACGATAGGGGCGTCGTTCTTCAACTGCAAGATCAATTTGGACGATGCGAGGATAAAATTGCAAGTAGGCTTTAAAAAAAAATCACATTTCTCTACGCTTTTGTATCAATACTCAGCAATTAACTCAGACCCAATAGATCTCACCTCGACGACGAATTAATAGAGATACGAGATACCATTTCTCGTATCCGCGTTATCTTTTCAATTAACCCACTGACCCGTTGATTCCACCCACTTTTCACTTCTGTTGTCTCGATATCGTTATCGCGCCTTCGGTGACGTAAAATTCACGCTTTATCCAGCAACAATACTCAAGCTTGACAGCGTTAAAAAAAAGAATTAAATTAACGTTAAAGAATTAAAAAGGCATCGCTTTTAGGTGTGGGACACGGCTGGTCAGGAGAGATTTCGCTCCATGGCGCCAATGTATTATAGGAACTCCAACGCTGCCATGCTAGTGTTCGATCTTACGCAGTACAACACCTTCGCGGCGATCAAGGGTTGGGTGAAGGAGCTGCAACAGAACGTGGAGGAGACGATGGTGCTAGCTCTGATCGGCAACAAGTCCGACCTGGTGCAGCAGCGACAGGTCGACGGCGAGGAGGGTCGGAGGTACGCCACGACAATCGGTGCTACATATCACGAGATCTCGGTGCTACATAACGAGGGGGTAGAGACCGTTTTCCTGGCGATCGCCATGAGCCTACGGAGAATGGCGTCGGACAATAACGATATCAACACAACCCTCAAGATATCCGATTCTAATAGCTTCCTTAGAAGCGACGATATGCTGCCCTCACCCTCCGTCGAGGAGAGCCCACAGAACACCAGTATTGCACACGCCATACACGAGAAGCCGTTTACCTGTTGCTAGTTGTAGTTTTGTTGAAAAAAAGACGGCAGTAATTTGACAGATCGCGCCTTTCTTAGGAACTCGCGTCAATTACCAAAGAGTTTAGGATCAAAATGTTACTTGCCGCGCCTTACGGATTGTTTCCGCAGATCGGTGAGTCTAATCTACAGTGTGCTCTCTGCATCTAGAAACATTCTATTTTGTAGTCACTAAATACATTTAAAAAGTTTGCGCAAGTGAATGAATTGTATACTATAGGTATACTGTACAATCGTACATTGTCGACAAATGTTTTAAGCGTTTCGATTTGTTTATATAAAATAGAATGTTTCTAGATGCAGAAAGCACATTGTAGATTAGGCTTTAGTGAACTAGAAATTTTTGTCTGACGAATTCGAGATGAAAGACATACGCGCAGAAATCGTAGAGCAAATCAACATCCGGCTCTTCCAAGCAGCTTAAAGTTCGGTTAGCCAAGTCGGATTTATGACAACGCTCGCGTTAATTTATCACGGGAATGAAATCGAGGGTGTCAATGATGGAAATTATATCGAATTTTCCATGTAAATGAGTAATAAAAGTTAGCTAGACAGGTAAAAGAGATCATATTTTTTGTATATTAATTTTATATGTAGATCTCGTGACGTAGAAAATAAATAATGCGGTATATGAATTCAAAGTGATGGGGATTGCGATTGCAAATTAGGAAATGTAATATCCTGTAAGAAACTCAATTATTAACCACAAACCGTTCAAAATTTTTCAATTTGCTAAATTTTTATGTTCTAATTCTACATCATAACGTGATGGTAGAAACGCGTGGTTTTGCACGTTATGCAAAAATTGGTTAATGCATAACGATCGCTCAGCTTGCCATTAGAAAGCAAATTTCTGTAAGTTACATCTTCATTATTTTATGATTAACATTACTTTTATTATTACTGTATGCTGATAATTTTATACGAAACAACAGTATTCTACGGTGCGTGAATTATTTATGAACAAAATAGAATAGACTTATATGTTATCAATATTTTTCGCGAAGACTGCTAAAGTTTAAGTTTGAACCCTCTTTCTGCGCAGACAATGAATTATTTTCGATACTTTTAGGAAAAATCTCTTTATTTTTTTGCGTATATTGTGATACGGACGTTCACGCGCCCCCTTCGAACATATTTCTAAAAGATTTTATATCTAACAATAATAAATATATTTGTGATAAAAAACATATACCTAATGCATTTATAAATAATTCTCCTTTGAGTTCCTGTCAAATTATATAATCAATAACGCACAGATTCTATTGCGCAAAGTATTCGCTCGGTGTGCGTTGTTCACTTTATATATTTCGTTATTAAATATGTAAAACAAAACCGACGTTTTAACACAGTCGCGATAGGACACGCTCGTTCAAGATCCGAAAAGCTGCGCCTCCTCGGGAAATCTGCTCGCTACGACAGAGAGTGATAATCACACAATGACTCATTCTCACTCCAGGCCGGGCCTCGCGGAGCGTGACGTCCCAGCTTTGTCTACGTGTAACTCATCCCATTTTCGTTATGTAAGCGTCCGTTTACTATGCATCTAGGCCCATTAAGACTGCGCGGCCGGTGTCTTCGGAACCTACGCGCAGCGGCAAGACGCGCTCTATGCTCAGGGTCGTCCGCGTGTGCGGGAGTCAAGGAACCCGAAACTCACGTTTTCTCACCGGTATAATTCAAATACCGCGGCTTGTACGTGCGTGAGAGAAAGAGAGAGAGAGAGAGAGAGAGAGAGAGAGAGAGAGAGAGAGAGAGAGAGAGAGAGAGAGAGAGAGAGAGAGAGACCGCAGCTCACGTAATGTGAAGGATTTACAAGAAAAAAAATATATGAGCTCTGGTATGAAGAATATAAAGAATTTTTTAATGTAGAATTACGAAAAAATCTCTCTCTCAACGTATCAAAACAATTGAAATATAAAGTTGTCAAATTACACTATTGCAAATAACTGTACTAGCTATCGAACGGTAAATACGTTTGATTAACGCGTATTTTCAATTCAACATTACAGATAGATTCACCAGGCTAAATACGCATCTCACTTCAGAACCGGAAAGATACGAGGATGCGTGTACCGTTAGATTATAATTAACTATCCGCTCGTTTCTGAAATGTAGTGTAACTCCGAGATTGACGTAATAATCGCGAAGGCGCGATTAAGCGCGGCTTTCGTACGAGAAAGAGCGCTCGCAATTAACCGAAAGCCAAGCGGCATCGAGTATTTTTTTAATGGCCGAAGAATCGATTAGCATACCGCGTGAGTATAATGGAGTTTTAGCGCCGTTTAAGGACAATAGGCAGTAAAGTGGTAAGTACGAGAATTGACTAACCGCAATCGCCGCGACGCAATCGCAGTTCGATTTTACGCAAAGGGAATCGGCGCGACGATGACTTTACACGCCCTTCTCGACACGCCCGCGACGCAAGAAAATTGTGCCTCTCCCTCGCTCCCCCGCTCCAGGCCTTGACACGTGCGAGCAAGACAACTTGATAGTTCCTAGGTTTGCCAAACAGGAAGAATTTCATCTCGTCGCGCCGTTGCGACAGGTGTATTTTCACTTTCTTCCTGTTAACGGTCGCGCTTCTTCAAGTGAGGTAATCGAGGTCTCACAGTAAATAAAATAGACCGTAAAAAATTTCTCAAGAAATAAAATCAGCTATTATAAAAGCATTAAGCGGTCATTCCATTTTAACGGCCCAAAAGCTATGCTCATCTTTAAAAAAAAAAATGAATGACCCCTTAAGGAAAAACCTCAGTGTGATGTTTAAAATAAATTTGGTGTTAAAGATGACTACGTGGCAATATTTAATTCATGTTCAGCGTTGTTACGTTTCTTTGCATGGTAAACATTCGCGATATTCATCAGTTTAACACAGAAAGTCATAATTGTCGATTTCCTCATTGGTGATGCATACATCTTGATGGATACAACGAAGAACCGTAGCTGAGGCTTCTAACTGAGCTTGCACGCGTGAGATATCGTGGACAGTTTGCACGAACGCGAACAGGGAGTGCACAATTCGATTTCGCAATATTTAGTAGCATCGCGATCCGTTCGTCGGTGCGCTAATTAAATGCAAGCGCGAAATCGCGGGGCGGAGGAAGAGAGGCGCGCGAGAGGGACTCGCATGCGCGCGGATCCTCAAAGGAGCGGGTACGAGCTCCTTTGAGCGTGCAAGCGTCACGCAAAGGAGCGAGTAGGAGAAGAGGAGGAAGAGAAGAAGCGGCACAGGCGGAGGAAACAGAAGAGACGATCATAATGCCGGGCTCTGCTGTATAAGACAATGATACAGTTACACGATGCTCTCAGTTGTGAGCCAATCGCAAGAGGCACGACACAACGTGCCCGTGCGCGAAAGTATAATGAACCGCGGCAAGGACGACACGCTAATTACGCCCGGCCCGTTAATTAAAGGAACGAACGCTCGTTAATATTGCCGGAAGACAGACCAGAAGATAGGACCGTTCGCGCGGATCGGCGCGATCCTCACTTCGCCGCGGGATTTCGATCAAGTCGGTGATCCGGTGAACACGAATCTCTCGCAGTGATCAAGCTTTGTGTTAAAAAAAAAAGACAATTTTTCCTACAACGAGGATTACTTTTGCGACTGCATGACGTGTACGCCGACCATTTTACGATTTTTCTCGTAACGTTGGGAAGGTTTTGTTGACAATTACCCTCGTAATCTTGCAGCGATCGCTCATCGTGTATGCGTATCTTCCGTCGAATGGACGCTCTTTCAGGGACGTCTCGTGTGAATGAACCGTGATTCATAGATCGCGGATAGAATAGAACGCCAGATAGCGGCTAGAAAGCAATAACTAAAGCGCTCACGTGTGTGCTAATGAGGATTGGAGGAGTAAGCGAGGATTAATTGAAACGTAAATGCACTTTCTGCCACGGTTTTATCGAGGCTAAATTAGATCGTGTCATAATAATGTAGAATAATGAGAGCCATTTCTGAATGATGAAAACGATGAAAACAGAAAGTTGCGTACACCATGTGAAAGTGAAATAAGGTCCTCTTAAAACGTGGAGAATTTATTAACAGCGATGGGACATCAACAGCAGGGATTTCTCGTTTTTATCATCTACTTGCTGCGATCCTGTCAAGTGTCGCATTCGGTTGGTCTCACGTTCGATAATCAGCTTGTAATCGTCGCGAACGGTAAGTGACACCGCTTGGTCACCAAACAATACGGAATACAACGATTAATAATTACATTGTGCAGATTGCTACACGAGAGTAGCCATCGGATCCAAACTGCAGGACATGGATATCTTTTCCAACGTCGCGGTCGCTAGCATTTCGGAATGCGAGGACGAGTGCTCGAAAAGGAGAAGTTCCTGCAACGCGTTCGCTTTCGGGTATGTGATGTCGTATAACTGCGAGGGAAAATTCTAATCGTGAGCGGAAGGAGAAATATAAGAACCAGAAAATAAAAGATCTCGAAATGAGATTGTATAATTTTTGTTGCTATATGATTGTACACGTTAACTCTCTGAAACCGTCTTTGTATTCGTGTATTGATTTAGGATTGGCGTTAAGGGTAACGGAACGTGTGCGCTGAGCGCGAAAATGCCGAAGCCCGAAGAACTACAAAGTCACGCTGATTACGATGTCTACTTGAGGAGTCAACGTTCGCCACACTGCGAGCCAGATCGACTTTACAAGATGGGAATCGGACAAGAGAGAAGAAACGAGACGGTGCCGACCACAATATTTGGAAGCGGCCTCTTGGGCCCGACAATGCCAAATATCCAGCCATTTCCGAGGTATACCGATTGTCTATTTACTTCAAACAGGGAACATTCCAGTACACCTTGTTTATTCTTACGCCCGTCCCCAGTGAGGTAGATATATATTTCTGGTAGCGATAAAAGAATATTTATATTCCGCGAAAAATAAAAAGTATTAATGCAGATATACGAAGAGTTTCAATGTTTCATTTTCGTTAATATTTCAGAGCCGATTGTGGAAATATATACCCACACTTTAAAAAGAGATTCCTTAAAATAAATGACTCGACCGAGTTTTCATCGCCAGATTTTTTTATGACTATTAATTTTATATCAAATATAATTTAATTTAGAAATACAGCTATTGTATAACAACTGTTATAACACTTTTCACTTGCAGAACCATGGGGAGTTTGCCTAACATCAATGGCCCTCCGTATCAACAGGGATACATGCCTTCCTTCGACGACGAGCGCCGAGTCATCGATATCGTTCGAAACAGAAATCCGACACCACCCGCCAGTAATCCTTTCGGAACTAATAACGCGAAAGTCGATGACTACGATCTGTCAATACACACAAACCGAAAGTTGGCCTTCGGTCAAAAAACGCACTCAGAACCGAAATACAGTCGCCCGAGTTTCGCTGGACCGTCCTATTCAAATCCTTTCGCCGGTGTCAACCATCTGAACTTTGGTTCGAACTCGGATGGCGATCTACATTCGTACAAGGCCCTCGCCGTTCATAACGGGCCCTTCGACGTTTACTCGAGACCCCTCTACGTCTACGATGGAACCTCCAAAGACAGATCCCCGGCGGGTCTTGGATCTTGGAGTGATCGCGATACAACCAAGTATCGCACCCCGAATCATCTCGATCAGCATCGGCATCAGGAATTTCTCAATAGCGTGTACAAAAGTCAAGGGATTGTCGCGAGACCGAAGCAGAATGAGTTATTCGCTGGAAATTACGATTTCCGAAAAATCCCCTCGCGTCCAGTTGTCAGCAATCCTTACGGCCTCGACACCAACGGAGCAAGACTCTCGAACGAGGGATTCGGAGATACCCCCGAGCTCTGGAATCCAGGACTGATGACGATGTTTCGCGGCTTCGGCGCGAGGATCACCGAAAAATCGAAAGGTGAGCATCTCAATTGTAATTTCGCTCCGCCAACGTAGTTTGCGCGTTGCATGCAATCTGCGCGCGTAATGCGTAAGCTTTCGGTGCGATTCTAGCACCTCGAGAAACGGAAACACGAATCTCTGTCTTTAACGAGGCGTGCGCGAAAGACCGGAGACACAAATCTTCGGACACTTGTTGCTGCAGCTACGTCGCGTATGTGAGGCGCAACCTCAATTTTTCCTATGCAGCAATCGCACGATTGCATTACACGTGCTCGCGCTGCGTTCCACAAGTTGATTATCATTCTCTTACGTAAAACGACGTTGTTCCGTTACATTAATTCGCTCTTTGGGTGTGGAACTAAATTAATAAATTTCGCATTAAATTATAAATGTAACAACATTACATTCAAATTGTCGTGTCTATCTTTTACCGATTTTTATGTTGCTTTGTGAATATTCTGCGACGTTACATAGTTTTAATAGATTATTACAATACTGTATACATCCTGTCGCGATATTCTAAAACCAGAATTCAGAGATAAGGTTGAAAAAGAGCCACCGCATTGACGTACAGCGTTAATTCACTATCCGACACCATCAACTGGCTCAACTTGGTGGCTGCAGTCAGCTGCCAGGGTTTATCGGGCCGCGTTCATCTGCGAACTGCCGATTGACAAATGGCAACGGCATTGACACGGATTTTAAACTGTATGCGAATTAGCTCGTTGCAGCCATTGACTTCCGCCGTTAGCCGCTCTTATCGCACAATTTACGCGCATCGTTTTTCCCCGTCGAGCTACCCAGCATAACGATATAATTCGATACGTTCCTCTCGGACTCGTAACTAATAAAAATAAAAATTACACTGTGCAATTCGGCTAAATAATGATTGCGAACAGCCTCTAGCGCGTCTAGGAGTCAACGATTTTCCTGCGCGAAGTTTTGTCGTCCGAGCAACGACCGGCTTAAAGGAAACTCGATGACTTTTCGCGATTGTGCCACCACAGTACACGACAAGTTGCACAAGGGAGAAATATAAACGCCGAGACACTACAGGACGCTCGGCTTCCGGCTCGCGTGATCTACGAGCATAAAACGCTTTTACTTTCGACAGCTAATCCCTTATTCCTGCCTGCGCTTCGAATTAATTGCGCGTAACACGTCCATCTTTTTGATCAGGGATTGTTGTAACCGATTGGGTACGACGGTTGCGACGCGATTAATACAATTTCGTTACCGAATTGCCCCTCGGGCAACCTCGAAATTCGAGTCGCATTGAGGATCGCGATAATTCAGCCTAGCTGACTGACTCGAATCGCGGAAGTTTTACTAAAGTTATGGTGCGACATTAAGAGCCAGGCTGGCTGAAATAATTGAGGTAATTGTGACCCTGACGAATATCTTGAAGGACACGCGACGGCAAATCCCTTCTAAAATGATGTCACTCCTCTATTCCTTGGCACAAAAGTTCTTTTTAACGACGGAAAAATGCAAATGGTTCCGGCAGTTGGTTTCTGGGTAGAGATCTTACGGCGAATAAGTAATAATCTCTTATATATCTCGGTTGAAAATGCAGAAGATGCGAGAAATCGGTAGATTAAAGAATTGTTAAACGATTCGAGTGCGAAATATAACAATAGCGCCTTTGGACTCCCGGTAAATTAAACGCGAATAAAAATAACGCCGATCCCGATAGGGCGAGACGACGCTACGAAGATGCGCGCGCGCGCGCGCGCTCGCACAGTCACGTCTCAATTAAAGATTTACATCCTGTAATTACTTAAAACGACGAACGACTCGCCAATCTATTCTATACGTAATTGCACAAAATACCGAATGACGATGCTCGGCAAAAGAATGAAACGCTCGCGTGTCCGTGAGCAAAGAAAAATAATAGTAAGTGGAATCATTAATGATCATGTAACGCTGAGACCCCTCCCCCGACGTGTGAGCAGTTCCTCCCACTATCCTCGCGGAAACGTTCACTTTTCTATAAAACGACGCGAGCCCGTAATTTCTCCGCTACTTTTTGCGCGATTTTCTGTCCGCGCTATTTTTCGCGCGGACGTGCCGCGGCGCGGCGGACCCGGGGGCGGCTTGGAAATCGCGGAAAATTCTCCTGGGAGACGCCGAAATGACCACGTCTCACCGCGGTTCGCGGGGTATCGCGAGAATAAGTCACGGCCGGAGGGAAAACGCGAAACGCTGAGGCGAGCAACGCCTCGCGTACGTTCGCGTCGCCTCTCTCGCGATCTCGATTCGGATGGTACGTTCGCACCGATTCGTCGATCGAATTCGCGGGAATCATGTCGATACGTCGACGATGCTTGTGGACCTTTGTGCTAGCCGTGATCGCTCGACGGGCCACCTCGAGCTCGATAGTCATAGTGGACGACGAGTGTTCGCGTAAGTCGCGCGGGAAGAAACGACGCCTGTAAAAAAAAAGTGCAAAGTTGAAATCTCTCCTTTCTTTTTCTCGCTGCAGCGTGCTACAGAAGACTGCTGTCCGGTAAGAAAAGCCTGGATCTGCACGTCAGACGTGCCATCGAGTGCGAGAGGATCGAGGACTGTCATCGCGCTTGCGACTATGAGAAGCATTTCACTTGCGAGGGCTTCAATTACAGGTACTCGGGTGGCTCCTAAATATCGATGAAAATCCAGAGAAATATTTTGCGAGTTGGATTCGTATAATTGCGAATTCGTTGGACCGTTTAAAAAAAATATAAACCCGCCCCATTGAAATTAATTTTATAATACGAGCATAATTATATTTCCTCGGCGGGTTTGTCAGTTCCAGATGACTTAGTCCTCGCGAGACAACCGAAAAATAATCTGCATAACAGTTAAGCGCGATTATCCGCGCTTGGAGTCTTTCAATGATTTTCTATACACGCGCGTATATATATCTAGGGTACCTATTATCAGATGCACACGCAAAATACAGTACGTATATATATGCATGACCCACCGTGCGGTTGCATCACGGACAATTTGATCGCACCACAATCTGTGACACGCTTCTCCGTCGAGGAGAACTATCACGCACGCGCGTCGGGAAAGTTGCCGCCGTTTTTCAACATTCAATTAACATATTCCGAAAGACTCAAATTGATGACGAATTTATTTATCGCACCGAGTAATCGCGATTTTGTCCACAAAGACGCACTGGACACGGAGCGAGAGGAATGTGCGAGTTGACATCGGTGCCTTATTCCCGCATGAACTTCCATCGGGACTTCGTATCGGATCCTCAGTGCGATTATTACGAGAAGGATCCGAATTGCGCGATAAACACGCCCGAGGCGCGGCCATCCTGGTGGAACCAACCGTCCAGACCTGGTGAATCCTACGGTCCGCCTTACTCTCCTAACGAAAGGCCAGATACAAGGTACGGTGATTGAGAATTTGCCTGATTTCAATTGGATTCGATCGATTTCGTAATACAAAACACTACCACACGTTATCTTACATCAATGTCGAATTAGTACGAATAGATCGTCCTGGAAAAACGCAATTGTTGCGATGGATAAATTTATCTTTACGAAAGAACGATAATTCGCAACGAAGATGCTTGCTTCTCGGAAACAGTTCGGCAATTTGCTTTTGCTTTAACCAAACGCTCAAGCGTGAATTTAACGCGCTTCCATTTTCACCGAGGGGTAAACCGCTGACCAAAATCATGCGCACCAATTTTATCTTATTTTGTCTTTATAATGCCTAGTAATGCCCAGTAATGCCGTAAATCGGTACACCACAAGACCCTCGGCGGTTTACCCCTCGATTTTCACCCATCGTCCAGATGAAACGCATTCTGCTTCTAATCCACACAAATTTGACACAAGACCCTACGCTCCGGACCGACGACCCTTAAACGAAGTGCCACGGCCTCTGGATTACGATCGGCGGCCCTTGAAGGAAATTCCGCGACCGTTCGACTACGATCGGCGACCCTCGAACGAGATCCCGCGGCCTCTGGATTACGCTCCCAGACCCGCGGAACACGATCGACGACCAACGAGTGTCTATCCTCATCGCGGGTTGTACGACGATACGTTTGATCGACGGGGCTATCCCGATGGTTCAATACGGGGTGGATACCCGGCGACGAGACCGGAAGATCGATTCGTCTACAATGTCCGATATCCGTCCAGACGACCCACCGACGACGAGTTTTATAACAGAAACGTACCATGGGCACCATATCCGAACAGAAGAATTGATCATGACATAGGTAATGTTGAAGTATAGATCGTGATACATACAAAGAATTTTTGTTACAACGTAAAGTCTGATTCAGACCAAACAAACGAACGCGAATAAATGACGAATGAACAACTTGCTTCTTTAAGTGCGGCGCATTTGCTGAAATAAGTTATTCATCAGTGTTTGTTCGCGCTCGTTTGCCTCATCTTTTTTTCTCCCTTTGCGGAAAAAGTTTATTCTGGATTCTGCTTTACTGTTCACCTTCGCCCTGTCGCAGGCACGAACGAGATCGGCTCGTATCTGCCGGACCATCGAAAGGATCCGACCCGCGACTGGGGTTCTTACGGCGTTTACGGCGGCTCTTATGGCTACGACACGAATTACGTGGGAAAGTTCGACATACCGAAGTACTATCCGAAATCGCAGCCTAAACCACCGCGTCCCTACGACAGCGACCAATTCTACGGCGAGTTTTATAATTACGGCGGCGCATTCGGATACGGCGACAATTATATACCGGCCAACCAGGATCAGCTTTACGGCGCAGCCGGAAGGACCGACGAATGTTCCGTCCGAGCCGGTGCGGGATTCAGGCTCAGCCGAGGAGTCGTTCGGAAGACGTATCTGACGCCAAATCTGGATCAGTGCGAGAGCCTGTGCATCAGCGAGAAAAGCTACGCCTGCCTGAGTTTCAGCTACAGGTACATTTTGAATAATCCATAATGAGAAAATCGTAACGCCGTTGCCTCCTCAGTAATACGGCAAGATTTAACAGCGATTTAATACGTGATATTAATTCAGTTTTCGATATTATAATGGACAGGTACAATGTGGCACCCACGGACCCTACGGACAATTGTCTTCTCAGCGACGTTTCGTACAAAGATCTGAACTTTTACGTTGACCTCGAGCCGGATCGCGATTACGATATTTACGCCATGGTCACCAACTCGCGAACATGCGGCACGAAGAGAGAACCGAGCTCGCATCCTCCAGACGGTATACGATTTGATTGAAGTAACTTTGCTGTTAATTGCTCTTAATTAAAATGCAACTTATCGAAATCATTTTTTATGTACAATATTATTTTATTTCCTAAATTTACCTCCGAGAATAAATGAAACCATCTTTCGAAGAACAATGCAATTTATCATCTCGAGCGTTGTACTACTGGCCCGATTGCGTTACCGTACGTTATGCGTTCCGCTTTGTGTTTCCGGTAACAACTAAACTCGACAAACAACAATGAATTGGCTCTTTCTCTCTCTCTCTCTCTACTAGTTTTGTAGGATTCGCGAGAGTCACGAGGACTTGTTTTTTATTCATGACTTTTTTAGAGTGTTTTTGGAGAGTCAGAAGCGGATTCGGAATGCCCACGGACATCGTTAGAAAATCGCTAATAGCCGACAACCTAGGGGAGTGCCAGGCAGAATGCATGATAACGCAAGACTTTATGTGTAGGAGCTTCGCGTTCAAGTGAGTCTCCCGTGCCAAGGTTGACAGTAGGCTGAATTAAAGCGATTGATTTCGGTAGAGTATCGCGTATCTTACGTCTCGTGAAATATTGCAGATACGGGCTGGAACAAGGGCAATCGGATGTTTCGACTAATTGTTACCTGAGCGATTGGCAGTCGCAAGATATCAATCCTGCCCAAATGCTGGACATGGACGGCGCGGAGGTGTACGAACGAGGCAGTTTCGGCAGAGGATGCGAGCCTTACGCCGTACCGTTTTTTAATATGGGACGGTTCAGCGGCAAGCAACCTTCGCAAGGGGACGAAGGTGAGATCTATGTCGGTCTAACGCACGCACGTTCGTTCCATCGAATTGCGGTTAACAGTCCTTATTAATGAAACTTTTCGCAGAATGCTACTCTGGATACAACAAGCCGTGCAAATTGACGCCTTATGCCGTTCTCTTGGCAACGTACGTGAACTCGGAACAAAATTGTCGGCAAAAGTGCTCGAGGATGAGAGAAACCGACTCCATACCTTGCATGTCCTACAGTTACAAGTAAGTATACGCTGACGAAATTCTTCTACGACGTTTTGAATTTGACCAACTAATAACGTGCGCGTTTTTTATAAATCATCATAATTTCTTGCAAATCGAAATTTATTTCCAACCGCGGTTTAAATAAAATATAAAGTTATTTCTATTCTTTTGAGAAAAATCTTGAAATTAATTACCTTTGGTTTTTACTAATGCATTCTATTAATTTCGTTTGTGGTCTTCAGACTCACCACGCATGGCACAGAAGAGAACTGTCTACTCAGTGACGTCCCTGTGAGAGATTTGCGACCTGGTCTGGACTACACTGACGACGACGATCACGTTCTTTACGCGTGGAAGGACCTCGATCCCTACTGCATGATGACTGGTTACTCGCTCGACGACGATCACGTGTTTGGTGGACCAGGCCCGTTGAAGCCGCTGCTCACAGATCATTCGCGACCCGATTTCAGTCCCGGCAGATACCCGAGTACGAGACCCGACGACACTTATCCCGAATCAAGGCCTTTCTTTACGAAACCGGGCGGTTACGGCGGTAGACCGTTCGATCCCGACAAGCCTGATCCTATCGGGCCGCCTTCCCCTGGCGGTTACGGCTATGGTGGTTACGGATATGGCGGTTATGGTGACAAGTTCGGAATCCGTCCGGGTGGATCCGGCTCTTTCTACCGTGAGTAGCTCTGACGGTTATTTACAATTATTCGCACAATTTTGCATAAGAGACGGAGAGATAGAGGATTCTAATTATTTTTTTGCCAAAGCAGCGGATGAATACTCGACTTTCCTTCATTACACGGTGAATGGCTACCCGTGCAAGAGAGGTACGAAGTGCGAGAGAAACAAACTCGCTGGATTTTGGGCCTGCGAGACCGAGGGAGGCGGATACGACAGCTGGGACTATTGTTGCGCGCCGGCTCGTCATTGCGGCTTCTCGCAGGGATATCATTATCCATGGTATATTATTATTATACAACGCTTATAACGATATCGTATATCGCAGCGCGATACCTCTTGCTTCTCTTTTAACATCCCGATTCGCGATATTCATGTTAGACGCGGTAGATATTTCTTTTTTAAATTTTAACAAAAATTAAATACAAAATGAAGAGAAGGCAGAGCATGAAAAATGAAATAAAATAGAGAAATGATCGGTTGAATCAATTGCAGGTGCTACGTGGGATCGTCGGAGGACCAATGGCGCCCTTGCAGCGAAAAGTACTACCCCTATCTCCCGAGTCCGCGGCCGATCCGGCCGACGATCGGCGGCGAGGACCGGTACGATCGTCCCGACCGTCCGCACGATCCCGGTTACGGCAGACACTGGCCGATCACGTATCTGCACCGAGAACCGCCGCCGAATTGCACGGACTCGCTCGCGTCCGCGGACAACAGCGGGACTCGTCGTCCGAACGAAACGACCTCGACCACGATCAAAACGCCGAGCAGCACCAGCGCGGTCAGGAGCGACGAAAGCGGCACCACGAGCGCGAGCAAGGTACGCCGGCGACGGATACGAGTGCGCACGGCCAGCGACACGCGGAACGACGGAAACGCGATTTTCTCGCGCAAGGTCGGCGCCCGGATCGTCGCGGGTAACGCGACGCGGACGCGCGAGAATCGGACGAACCGGGATCGCGCCGGGAAAATCGAGCGTGTCTCGAGACCGGCGAGCACCGAGCCGCCGCCTACCGCGCAAACCGTCGCGTTGTTCGTAACGACGAACCGCATCGACGACGCGCGACTCGAAGGTGCGAAAAGCGGCGACGGAATGATCAAAGTGCCTCTGATCGCGCCAAACAATTCACTGCCAGCGGCGGGAGCTTAATTATTCGTGGCGAGCCCGAGCCCGCCGCCGTGGTCCCGCCGTAAGAGAAGCGACAGGCTTCGAAAAACGACATTACTTGAAATTTTAAGATCGAATGAGACGAGCGAGAGACAGTTTAAGATTGCTGAAATATAACGATATGTTTATTTAAGGAATATATTTACGATCGAGGGAGTTTTGTAAATATATAGATATATATATAGATCTCTTAAATATATAAATATGAAATTGATTTTCGCAAACAGTTTCGAAACGTCGATATCTATATCATCACGTTTAAAATTAAAAACGTCTCTGTATAAATCAACATCACTTTGCAAAACGCGTGATTGCGCTTAACTCTTGGCGAATGAAGATTGTATACTACCGCGATCTCGCAAACTACTATATATCTCTCTCTTTAAAATATTCCTTTAAACAGTACACGCTTCAACCATAAAATTGTCCGAATGACAATTCGTCCTATCGCGATTTAATTCGTAATTGCAGTCAACTTAATTATTTCACTGTTTGATAATTAATTGTAAAAAGAATTTATACAATAAAGAACTCACGAGGACACTACCGTACATTGGCTATTTATCCAACGACCAAAAGTATTTTTAGAGTTGAAACGCTCCTACGAGAGTGTTACCGTAAAGGCAATGTATTACAATTACAAATAACGTGCTAATTACGAGCCTTCTAGCTAGAACCTTCTATTTGTTCGCGCCATCTAATGAGTGAGTGGAAAAGATAATTCCAATGACGGACAACTACACTGGACCCACGAGACGAGGCTTCGAGCCTCCCACTTTTGCCTCCAATTGCAAAAAGTACAGTTTTGTGCTTAAACAATTTTTACCGAGTATTAAAAATGGCGATACGTAACATTTCTTTAACGTTTCCCTTAATTTTTAATTCTTAGCAGCACGAATAGGAAATATAAAACTTCGTCCGGCCTTACGAAATATTTTCCAAGTACCAGTAGGTTTTGTTCGTCGCTGGGTGATCCTACGAGATAGTGGGGACATTATCGGACAAGAGCTTATAACGTCAAGATAACGTTGACGATACCGGTCCTTATTTCCCGCTTGCGTATTGACGCGACGTGCATTCTATGCATGCGCGTTTGGGCCAGTCGCACTCCGCACGTGACTTAAGTCGGTCAGCTGTTCCGTCGTCGAGCAGACAGGCGCACCATCGCGCAACGTCATGTCGCTCCGGAATGAGAATTACAGCGTCGACATAGCAGGTAAAAATCAATAACCGCCGTAGAGAAACTATCAGTTTCATACGATCGTGTAATTAGACTAATCCCTGCCTTGTAGCAAATATTGCCGAAGGTAAAACAATTCCAAGCGTACAATTATTACATACGACTGTGCAATTATATACTTTAATTAGGATTTTTATAATTAACGTTTACGAAAGTGAACCCGTACAAATTTATGTTTTGTACATTTAGTTTTAAACCGTCGTCTTTGAAGAATGTATATTGTTATTGTTAATGTTTTTCTTTTATTAGAAAGATTCAAAGCCTAAAGGAATTCTGGTTCGCTCATTTTCTAACAGACCATTGGTTGAATCTACCAGATTTCTAATTAATGCAACCAAATGTTTTTTTTCAGTGTATGTATATAAATATTTATCAATATCCGTTTGATGTCTATTAATTTTATTCTTTATCAGGATTTATGTATGCGAGCTCACTTTTCCTTTCTCGTTATTCTGTTACATTTATTACAGTGCACAGTCTACAATGAATAATTAATCATATACCAATGACTAATATTATATAAAGTTGCAAATAAAAAATAATAATTAAGGAGTTATTTGAACAACGCTCCGAAATTAAAAAGTATTTGCTTTAAAAATTGATTTACCTACAATTAATTTTCACTTTTCCTACAGGCTTGCGGATAAAATACAAGGATAAAAACGAGACTTTCACGGAGGATAATTTAATTAGCAAAGAGCCTATCGGGCAGTTCAAAGCATGGTTCGACGAGGCGTGCAATACACCACAAATTTTGGAACCCAATGCGATGCTTCTTGCGACAGCAACGAGGTAGCTTGTTTCTAATTTTTAGTTCTACAATACGTCTTGCGACAAAACTAAATAGAAAAACATACGTCACGTGCATTATGAGAAAGACAGAACGTTTACGTAAATGTACTTGGTAATATTTTACAGTCCGTTAAGTAACATAAGTACCAGCGTAAGAGGAAAATAAAAGTTAAACCTGCATGTTAATGAGCTGCAAGAAAATTGCGCAAATAGTTGCCAATACACTCCACGTTTCACGTGACGATAATTGTTTCAGGAATGGTATACCATCCGCGCGCATGGTGTTGCTGAAAGGCTTCGGCAAGGAAGGCTTCAAGTTTTACACGAATTACGAAAGCAGGAAAGGCCGCGAATTAGTGAGTTGATATCTAATTGATATTCATGAGAAGATAACTAAATCCTACACTACGTGATTTGTTTACAGGCTGAAAATCCGTATGTCGCGCTGACTTTCTACTGGGAATCTCTTAGACGAAGCGTATGATATTTTCTGTTTGCTTTTTACACTAAGTTTTATCACATAAATTGCCAAGTTTCCTCGACAGAATTATATTTTACGATAGCTCTTTAATTAATTAAATTTTTTGGTCATAATCATTTTGCTTACTGCCAATTATTTTAGGTACGCGTCGAGGGTATCGCGGAGGAAACCTCGGCGGAAGATTCGGATCGTTATTTCCAAAGCCGACCATACGCGAATCAGATCGGGTCCACAGCCAGCAAACAAAGCAGCGTGATCGCCAGCAGACAAACACTCATTGTAAAAGAAAGGGAGCTGCTCGCGACATTCCCTGAGAATCAGGTTAAAAGACCCGCCTGCTGGTAAATAATAATAAATTGATATATTATTAAATTATTATCAAATTGGAGCACACGCGTGTTGACTGTTTTTCCAATTAATTATTTCGAATATACAGATTTCTTACACGAGAAACATGTATAAAAGCGAAGAAGATTAATAGTCGCGTGTAATGGCACACTGCCATATACTCTCGCCGCGTTTCGCAACACTAATATATTTATTATCGCTGACGGGCCGTGGATTAATAGCGTTGTGCATCTACAACGTGTATAACTTCCAAATTTAGATCATCGTTTATTTATTTAAAAAATCGTTCATTCTATTAAATGTCTTGTTTTAGGGGCGGTTATCTCGTCGTGCCACATTCCGTAGAATTTTGGCAAGGTCAGAGCGATCGTCTTCACGACAGAATTCATTTCAGGCGTCCGAAAACGAACGAAAAGATAGACAACGTTCTCGTGCACAGAGGAGAGGACGGATGGGTTTACGAGAGACTCTCGCCATAGAAAGAAAACGTTTATTGACAAAGTGAACGCCTCGGTGAACGCTAAGGCTTGGCAATGTGCTCTTTGCGCATTGGCTACAAAACAGGAGTATTCTATTTTAAAAAATTTGCAAGTTGGCACATTGTACATACATTATACACTGTATGTATATTGTCGACAAATTTAATCTTTTAAGCGTACTGATTTACTTACAATATATGAAATAAAATGCCTTTAATCACAAAGAGCATACTGTTAGGCTCAAATCTTGCGTACACTAGGAATCGCCGATGCCTTTCCGCATGAATTTGTGCACATATCGACACATACTAATTTGCATATACATGTAAAATGTATACGTATTCTACTGTGCTTAAATTCATACGAAAAGGTATCAGCGATTCCTAGTCTACACGAAAAAAAAAATGAAACAAATCTCGCCGCGGAAGGATCGCTGCTGATTACTGCAACATTCCGAGCCGACACGCACTTGATAATTATACGAAGACAATAATATTATACACCAGACGTGTGATAATCTTGATGCGATTTCCACGTGAGCTTCAGAATTTCTCTGTTCACTCCTGAAATGTATACAGTCGATATTGTCGAAGCGACGAAAGAGAAATATATTTACAATCAAGCGTCAATCACCGTCTTGACTTCTCCACACCGACTTGACGTCGAAGCATCCGTCCCTTAAGATGAGATTCTCGAACTGTCTCATTCCGCCACCCACGCCAAAGTAGTAGGTCTTTCCGGCGACAAATCTAACGGAGATCACACCCGTTTCTAAAGTTTTGATATAAACACGTGGCATTACGTGCTGCTCCAACGTACTCACACAGCTCCGTCGGCTTTCAATCTGTTCTTAAAAACCTCGTGCAATTTCTTATGATTGTCCGGATTGTAGATCGTCTCGCTCGTAAAGATGTAATCGTACTTTTCACCCCCGTCGAGCAACGTCGAGAGAGAAGCCCAATCCCCGGCGTAAAATTCGCACTTGGTCAGTACGATCGTACGATCGTCAGAATTCAACAGCACGTTCGGAACGGTCACGGACCTTAGCACTTCGGCGTTCTGCGGAAAATTATTTATCTTGTTAATCGCGGCCGGTTTGCTCGACGCGACGATCGCAAGTCGTACGAACGTAATCTTGGAAGTGGACCGCGGAACTTTCGCGAAGAGACAGAAGACCGATCAATCCAGCGCCGCATCCCAGATCCATGACGAGCTTGTCCCTCAGCGCGATCTTCCTCTCCAGTATGTACTGACCCAAGTCGAACGTGCACTCCCAGATCTTTAACCCGCCTTAATCGCACAATGAATTTTTAACGCGTGTATTAACGAAACTTCCGGGATTCGGATTAAATCTAAATTGCCAGTAAATCCCGCTTTAGATGAATTTTAATTTACAAAAATCACCTTCGTACTTCGCTGGAATGAGATCGGAATGTTTCGACTCGGCCTCCACGATATTCTGGCAATTTTGCTCCGTTAAATCCTGCGTCACTTTATCGGAGCGGATTAACTTTAGATTGCAACCAGGAAACACTTCGGCCTCCGTATAATAATCAGCCTTGTATTTCGCTCCGATTTGTTCGGGCGTTATTTCCAGTTTGGCGGCGGGAATCCATTCTAATCCGGGCTTCTGTTCGTTATCCTCTAAAATTGTTTGAATAAATGACTCTTGGTGCGCGCACGTTTGGTGAAAATTGTAAGATACGAGTTGAATATTCGCGGGAAAACAATTTCGCAGCGCTCTAACCTCAAATTTACGAACAGGCACGTGCATCTCTAGACTTATCACAAAAAATAAGAACAGCCGTACCTTCAGCAGTGCCAGCTGCATCTTCCGCAAACCCAAATTTGAACATTTGTCGCCAAGTTTGAATTCTAAAATTAAAAGGCTACGCGAATCTCTGATAAAATTTAAGTACTAGTCGAGGGCATACATGTGTTCTGTATCACTAAACGTTTCACAATCAATGTATCTACGATGGTAAGCCAGAAAACTGCTCGGGCTCATTGTTAGACTTGCTTGGAGAATCACGACACCTGGTATACAGTCGTGCAATTTCTAGCATCCGCGATTTCAATAGCAGTATTATGTAATACCTCGGAATTTAAAAGATTGAGAATACAACGTATGTTTGCTAGCAACATCGATACTGTCTTATTGCTGCGCAATTTTACGAAACAATACTCGAACAGGCTGAACTCGATGCCAAGTGGTTCCATTAAAAAAAAATTTTTAATCACAATTACAATTATTGACGCAAACAGTAATTGTTCTGCTGCACTTGTCTGTCTTTTGTTGAAGAAATTTATCTTGCGGTGATGTATTGACAAGATAATACACTTAAAACCGACTGCGTTGATTCATTTACGATGTAGTAAATGATAAAATTCTCTATTAACGCTTATCGTTGCCCGATAATCCGACAATTTTCGAATAAACAATCATCGGCACTGTTTCTTCGTTATTAATCGCCGATATCGCTTCCGATAACATTAATTCCCGGCAATAATTTCGTCATTTATAATTTTCGAAGAAATTGTAATTAATTTTCTACGAGAGTTTCTAAAGGATTTCTTTAGATTGTATGTTTGTTTTAAGTTATTAGAGTCACCCGCTCTTGTTCATTTTTATATTGCAAACAGTGTCTAAGGCCGTTGCTTCAATATTTCAATTGTACACCCACAGAAAGGATCTCTGTTACTGAGGCAAAAAATCTTCTTGGCGCATTTATATTTCTCACAACCTCGTTTAGTATAAAAATAAGACAATATCAAAATAAAATCAACAATTCTTATTCTCCTCCTTACATATTCTTGTGTTTAGAATAAATTTTCCCTCCACCTTACAACGCACCAAGTTGGTACCACGATATTCGACAACAGACGATACATACACTCTAAATAATAAGTGTTTGAAATTCAAACACTTAGTTGTCGCCGTTTTTAAGATGTTTATTAGTGTTTGAAATTTCAAACACTTTCGTTTCAAGATGTTTATT